TCAGATAAGCAGAGATTAACACCAAGATCACCACCAGACATACAATCAGCAGTAAACAATACCCTAATCAAAGAATTACCAGAGGGAAAAAATAGAACAAAACAAAACCCACACCCCCATCAAAACTGGCAGGGCATGGCACTGTATATAAACAGAGAGCAAACCCTAGCACTGAAGATGTTACCTAGCTGGGTAACAAAATGTTTGCAAGAAAACAGCCAAGCTTAGAGAACTCCAAGGACTCCACAGTTCAACCCTGAGCTACACATATTCTCTTCTATTGGTGATACATAAATAATCAGCATTAGCTACTACAATACCATAAGTACTTTATGCTACAGTAAGTAAACTAGTTTCTTAATCCCTGTAAACAGAACAAAAATATCCTGCTCTGTCGAACTTGTTCATAAAAATTCATTAAGTACCAGAAAACAGCAGCAGAAATCTGTACAGATGTTGCCACCTCTGGACTTTTAAAACTGCTCTTAGATAGTGTTATCCTAAGAATCCACTTCCATTTTTTTCAGTCAGAAGTCCACTGTGTATCTGAGCTGCAGAGAGTATATAGGAAATGCTCTTTTGCCACACCTAGCATGACTTCTGTTGAATTATTCAACAGGATTTAGGTTCTTCAGCCAGAATATGTATACTTAGGATTTGAGCACATGTGGCTGACCTCCTTAAGTCAGTGGGTTAGTAAAAGCTTATTGGAAGACTTGCCTGGAAAGGAAAGTGTGTGTGGGAGGAGGCTGCCCTCTTACTCTGGAACAGATTCACCTTGGGAGCCTGTACTGCAGAGTATCAGCCTGTACTGCAAAGTGATAGTTGGATATGTATGAAGGAAGATGGACTGAAAAGTAATGCCTGTTTGAGTTGAAGTAAGGTTGTTGGATATCAGAATCTGAGACAATGCTATGGTCGGGGCAGCAAAATTCGAAATAAGTCTACAATAAAATTGCCAAAGCCTAGAAAATGCTGTATATAACTGAGAGTGCAGGAGGCTCCCAAAACAGAATGGATCCTATCTTAATTGGATCCATATGAATGCCTTTCAACAACACACAGTATCCCAAACGTTGGCAGATCAAAGGTATATTTCTCTATCTTAGTGTAGAGGCTATAATTACAAAGATGTTGAAGACTTGCTCAAACTTGATCATCGTGGAACACAAAATCCTCAAAATAATTCAGCAGATCATCTCCATAAACATCAATACTTTCTTTTAAAAAGCATGAATAATATGATGCATTAATATGATGTAATTAATAGAGATGAGATGGCAACCAATATAGCAATATAATATTTTCAGACTTCCCATAATCAGAATCAAAGGCAGTTAAATATTCATGACCTTATTTCAAGTGAATCAGATTTTAAGTCCCTCTTGGATCCAGTCTGATAAAAATGCATGACTTCTCCAGATGAATTCAAGAGTTCACAAATGAGGGAAGAGTGATGACCCAAATGGTTACAGCATTTAGAAGTTGATAATCATGTTGGGAAACATCTTTCCACTTAATAAAAGATGTAGGAGCGCTGGAGGGGGAAGTGGAGTGGCAGATAATCTTTCTGTAAGTTCTAATTGATAAATTCCTTTAGGTGGACAAATTCTGCATGTGATTTTGGATGGTGGCATTTTATAGGAATATGGGCTCCAGAAATAAGATTGATTGTGCAGTCACAGAATCAGTGATGTGATAGGGTTAGTGTTTCTCCCTTTCCAACGGGCAAGATAGGAGGATGAGAAGGTTGAGAAGGTTGTAAATGGTGAAGGTTTGAGAGACTGCAGGCTGTGAATTTTGCACCCAGGAAATCAAAGTTGATATTATCTTGGTCACAATAAATATGTGGTTTGTTAATCTGTCCTCTGTCTATTCCCAAGTTTATTGGAAAATTTGGAGATGAAATAAAGGTGTAGTGGCTCCTGGCAACTGACAATAGTGAATAGAGATTGGTCCTGAGCAAAAGAGATTAATCCTGACATCAGTACACAGAGCAAGGCATTTGGACCAGCTGAGTGTGTGATGAAGGATTCAGTGATGTTGCTTGTGTTGCCAGAATATACTTAAACTTGCAGTTGTAGTTCAAAAATTATCTGTATTTGAAGGGTAATAGGAATAATTAAATGCTGATGGTAGTTCTGCATGTCTGGACTTAATTTCTGGTTGCCCCAGCCTTTGAATCCTTACGGGTTGGGACTGCCTTATATCCCAGCAAGCCAGATCTTGAGTGATTAATGCATCTGCTTGCCAAATGCCTCTCTTTCTCACTTAGGCCACACTTGGTTGATTCTTTAGAAAGGAGCCGGCAGCCTTAGTAGGCAGTCGTATGCACAGTGACCACATTTTTTACAACTTGCTTTGTATGCATTGACACAAATTTTCTTGAGGTGATAACAGAGTAGTACTAGCTCCCAGATGCACAAGTTCAACTTCTGAAATCTTGGATAAGTGGGTAAAGGAGGGAACAAAAGAGGACAATGTTGTCTTTCCTTACAACCCATATTGTGCCTCAGTTACATGAGTCTTGCATTAGTACTCAAGCAGACCTGGATTAAGGTTGACATAGATTCTGCAGTGCCCTGATGAATGGATTTGCCCCATATTTCATCTGATATTCCCTCTTTAAAGGGCTGTTCAATTAAGTCTCTTTTGTTCTAAGCCATATCCAGGGCTAACTCAGCTCAGAAGCCCAGCTCCCATACTGACATTATACTGTTGGAACTGAGAGATTGGCATTCATTTGCTTGACTTTATCCTTGAAGTTAGTCTCCGGGTGTGTCCCAAAATTAGTTTAGTTGTCCAAGTTGTTTATAGGGTGTGTGTTTGTGTGGGTAGACAGATGAGTAGGTAAGTAGATAGACAGATATGAAAGTGAGGTGGACCATTAAAAGACTAACATATTTCAGTCAAATACAACCTAAATGTCCTTTCATATTGCCCTGTTTATTTCAAGAGCAGGAAGAGATGAACATAATCTGAGCAATTCATTTCAATGAATTTAGGAAGTAAATGGCTGGAAATTGACACTTACCTCTTTTTTTCCCCAAATAACTTTATTAGATTTTAAGATAAGAACAAAAACTAATATTAAAAATAAATAATATGAAAAAGGAAAAAAAGGTTGAAAAAGAAAAGAAAGAGCAAAGTCAAAGTGCAAAAAGAAAGAAAGGAAAGAAGAAAAAGTAGGACACTTACAGTATCTCTTATTATGTTCCAACTGCTTATGTATACTAAAAGATAGCAGATAATTGAATGATACTTGATAGCCCCTGATTAACTGCACAGCTCACTGGAATCCTGAAAGTATGTCAACAGCAGCTAGGCTTAATCCAAAGGAATTAGTTTCTGTGGCAGAGTAGCAGCAGAATCACATTAAATATTGCCTATTTCCTATTTAGCCAATATTATTGGCTAAAACTGTTCATAGTTTATCACAAACTATTTCTCTTTTCATGATTTCTAGGGGTCAGAGTCCAGCTGTTGCTGAATTTAATTTATTATTAAGAGCACATTCTTTAGAAACTTATGGTGTTGATCCTCATCCTTGCAAGGTAAAAAAAAACCCTATAGTATTTTTTAAAATATATTTTCTGTTTTCAGCATTGGATAAACCCCTCGCCTACATGCTTCAGCTTATACAGTTTATTCAGTTTACACAGTTGAAACAAACAAACAAACAAACAAACATACATACATACATATATATATATATATATATATATGGATTTCTGATGGGGGTGGATAGTGTAATTTTTATAACTACAAGAAGCTGGATATATATATATAATAAAAATAATAGAATAAAATATGTAAGAAAATTGATATAGCTTTCATTCCCAAGTTTACATTTTTTCAAGCATTTTTATATTGCTTTTAAAGGCAAACTCAAAAAGCAGTTTTGCTATAAAGTACATAACTGGTTCTAGACAAAAACAATTGTTATATATGAAGTTCTGTATCAGAAATCAGCATATCTGGATACAATCTGATTTCAGTGTTACTAGACCAATTTAACTGCTAAACTGCTAGTTTAAGGGAGCATTGATCTCATTCCAGTAACATAGCACCAGATATGTTAGATTAGTGCTTTTTATAGGTATCTAGTTGTTTGATGGTGTTCCAGACTGAAGTTTAAAGGCCCAATATATAATTTTCTAGTAATGGTACTTTGGAGGATGGATAGAAATTTGCAGGGGGAAAGATATGCATAACTCTTTTCATACCAATCAGTCCTCTGCAAATATCTCCTTGGTCATTTAAAAGTCCTCCAACATGTTTGGCTTTGTAAGTGGAAATGCCTTCATGGAAGGAGATACTGTAAAAGGATACATTTCTGGAATGTCTGCACTTTCCCATAGTTCTAATTAATACTCTTTTTTTTTTCCCCCTTAAAAAGGATTCAACTGGGACTACAACATTTTTAGGATTCACAGCCACAGGTTTTGTGGTTTTCCAGGGAAATAAAAGGATACATTTGCTAAAATGGTAAGACCTTGAATATTGTTTTTTGGTAGGAAGAAACATTTAGGTTATAGAATACAGAGAAAACCTTATTTGAAGCACTATGATCATGTTTGCAAATACACTTGACCAGAGGGTGGAGTATGTGGAGAGCATATTGGGCAAATTCATTACCTCTCATAATGACCTGCTTAATTAATCCTTTGATTTATCCCTATACAGCCCCAGGTTTGTCTGGGATTAAATTAATTCCCCTTGGTCAGTAATTTAAATTTGACTGTAACATGCCAGATTCAGCCATCCTGTGACCTGGGCTGCCAGAATACAAAAACGACTCTCTTGACCAGGAAGAGGGGATGACTGGTCATTTATGTTGTATGAACACAACCTATAAGAAACAAAATTATCCTACTGAGCCTGTAGTATATCATGGACCAGATGTTATTTTCCTTATAAAGCAAGCGAGGAATGGATGCATATAAACAAACAAACGAACGAACAAATCACTTGCTCACTCTAAGTTCTAGGGGAAGACCACATTCAAAATAAAATATTTGTCCATACATTCACTTGAGGATCAAAAGGTCAGTGCTGGGGCTTAAATATTGGAATATTAAATATTCCAATATTAGACCTCCTCCTCTGTATCCAGTGGTTTTTCCATTCAAATGTTTTGGAAACTAGTCAGGAATAAGAGTAAATTTGAAATGGGTGAAGCTTTTTAGAAAATTTGGCCCAGATGCAAATGTCATCTATGGAAACAATTGGCTAATTTTGGCACAAGGTAAATTATAGCCACAGAGATCCAAACTGAAGAGTGTTAATGAAAATCCAAAGGTATGCTTTCATTTCTAAAAATATACTGTAGATTATACGCTTGGTTGAAAATCCTTAAATAATGGTAATCAGTTACAGAGGTAAATAGGTGATGATCATACAAGTGAAACATGGACAAATTCTGTGATCTTTGATAAATGTAATTCTGGATGAAACTTAGTCAAACAATTAATTAGAGTTTCCTTTCCACCACCACCAAAAAAATACATAGCCGTGGCTTATCATATACAGTATAGGAAAGGAGTAAAAAGTTATCATATTTGCAGATTACATGTTTATTGATTAAGAGACCTGAGCCTTTCATTCCAAAATGAAATGAGCTTTGGAGGCTTTTTTAGATTATAATATACTTTGGTCTAAATCTGAAATGGGTGATACTATCTTGACACTTTTGTATCTTGAAACAATAACTTATTTTCAGCTAAGAGTATCTGGAGAGAGATCTCAAATTATTACACTGAATTTAAATATATTGTTAAGAAATAAATTTGGATCAATGGGCCCTACTTAAATGAAGTGTCTTAAAAAATTAATACTTTAAAACTGAAAGCTAACAGGTAATTTATATCAAATATGACATTTCTTTATATATGTATTATATATATTTATATATGTATGCGTGTATTTTTAGATGCATTTTTAGAAATATAATACTCTGTTTTGGAATTTTGTTGGGGAAAAGTATGTACCTTGTTTTTCACCTAAGAAGCTTAATTTGTTGGTTAGAGGTTTTATTTTTACAAACATTAGTACATTGCATAAAGCATATCTTCTTTCTCAGGTTAATAAATAGCAAATTTACCTCTGGAAATTTGTCCTCATGGACCATCTTGATATATTTTGCTTAGAGGATGTTGGAGGGGAGAGTGGAATTGTCCCTCCTGTTATATTGTTTACTAGAGATAATCCAGACTTGGAAATAACAAGACCATCCTTTGTTGGTGGTTTATAGTGTATATTTAAGACAATGTAGGATCAGATGATGCATTTTTGGAGATACTTGATGCAATATACAGTAAGTATCATTTGCCCAAAGTGCAGAATACCTTCTATGGACAACACCATTCAACATAAAAATATGGGTGTTTCAGAATACCTTTTGCCTCTAGAGTAGGGGTCCCGAAACTCTTCAGCTCATCGACTCCTTCATGAAGTTTCAGAATGTTCATTGAACCCCAAACATGTATTATATGAAAATAGTATAATAAATACTATTTTAATAGTATTACAATACTACTATTACTACTACTAATAATAATAGACAACTCAAGGCCCCTCTTGTTGGCAGCTGACCATCCAATGCTGGATAACAGTCTCACCACTAGCCACCTCACCTTCAGAACTAGGGACTGGGGTGGAGCTCTACAGAAACCCGAAAGATTAATTAACCCCAATCAACCTTCCATGATTTATCAACCACCTATTGACTCCCAGCCATTTATAGACTCTTTGGATAGTCCCATCTACACTTGGGTTGATACTGACCACTTTGGGAAACCCTGCTCTAGAAGATATAATACTTTTTAAAATAAGGCTATTTATAAAAGACTGCTAGAATCAACTAAATCAGACATTCAAGAGTATAGGGAGACATATAATAAGGAATTGGAATATTTACTAGAGTGTGGAATCTGTATGGCACATTTTTACAATTAACATATTGGATCCCTAAAGATCTTTTTAGGAAGAATTGGTCATATATCCTATAGTATAAAAACAAATAATTAGCTTATTTTTCCTTTACTTAAAAGTTTAATTTTAACCATTTCTTATACATATTATGTCTGTCACTATATTTAAGACAATACAACAAATAAAAAATAATGATCTTCTGCACAGGCTTACAAATCAATTTTTAAAATATGGAAAGTACAACTGTTAAAATATGTGCTATTGGCTTTACTGTTATACCCTTGTTTTTCATACTAAAGAATAAAAAATTTTGTAGCAGCAGCTTCTCAGTACTTTTATCTTGGATACATTTACATGGAAGTGTCAACTGTAGTCTGTTTTCCTAATTTAAAAAGCTTTCTTTTTATAGGTATGATGTCTGTAAACTAAAGTTTGAAGGGAAGACATTTTATGTGATTGCAGTTCAGAAGGAGGTTAGAAATTTTGTTTCTTATATTCTGAAAAAACTTTAGTTTTAAAATTTAAGTATTTCTCATGGAAATTAAATATGTTTATTCTTGCTCTTACAAAATAATTATCTGTCTTAGCTATTGGGATAGACTAGTTATGCTACTAAATGAATGAAAACTTTCCTCAAGAAAATATAGCCTAGTTTTTGACAAAGAAATGTCCTGGTGAAAAATGCATGTGGTTGAGATAGCTACTGTAGATAGATAGGTTGATTGATTGATTGGCTGATTGATTGATTGATGTGTGTGTGTGTATATGTGTGTAAAATAAGAAAGGATTGTATATATAAAGGATTATGTATGATTAACATTATAATCAAATGTTAATATATTTTATTTACTTACACTGTAAATTGAAAAAAATTGGAAACAAATTTCCAGAATTGAGGTCATGCCAGAACTATTAATTTTGCTAATTTGTTTTTGGATTCTTTTATAAACCAGGATCCTCACCAATATAATTAATATATCATCTAATGAGTTTACATGCTCCTCTATTCCAAGCTACCAAGGATGATTAATAGTTTTCCAATCTAAAAATAAACTTTACACAGTGTATAGCTAAGTTATTAGACTGATGATAACCTCTTCAAGAACAAGTGACAAACACTGTAACCTGCATTTTTCTTCTTCGTACCTTCATGGCAAATGATCCCATGGAATTAATCTCAGGGAAGCTCAGTGAGGGCTGTCCCAGTAGTCCAGATCTTTTCAATAGCTAATTGATGGTCCCTTCAATATGTAATGGAATGACCACCCACTTCCAGAAGAAATCTTCAAAAAAAAACAACCAGAAGCTGGATGTTGGGTGAATATGATGGGAGTATTGAAGAACGTCCACTGGGAGAGCAGGGATGCTGCTCTAAATTTTGGACCTTGGAAAAGCTCTGACCCCCTATTCTAGTGAACAGAACATTCTGTCCTTTCTTGGAGCAAACCCATACTTACCATTTAAGCCAAGTCCTGTTCTTCTATCTCATGTTATTGGAAAAACAATAAAATAGTGTATCACTGAAGGAGATTTTTTAAAGAGCGGAGAAAAGTAGGAAGCTCAGGGAAAGAAAAAAAGTAATTAAAATGCATCTGCCAAGTTTCAAATTAGCAACCTTCTATTTGCACACAAGAATCATAGCCATGATGCTATACCGAACTCATGGCAAAAGGCAGCTTTATAAGGTATTTGAGAGCATGATAAGCATTGATTCAGTTGAAGGGGTGTCCCTTTCTCTGCATAGTAGCAAATAAAATGCTGGAATTAGTCTTCAATGAACTGAAGTGTGCTATTCAAAATGATAGGAGCCTCAAGGTAACATAATATGGAAAAGTGTATTTGAGAAATAAAATAAATCTGAAGTTGCTTTGACAATGAGTGGGGACTTAACAGAGGGTGAGATCACCCATTTCCATCCTCCAGAAATGGCTGCTGGCCCAATCTGATGATGAGGCAGTACAGATAAGCCCACTGTTTAATGTGAAAAAGGTGTAACATTAAGTGAAAATCATGTCTTTAGACCAACATTGTTAAAGAAATCAATTTTTATTTTCTTTTGTTTAATTTTTCCTCAAATGCTTAGAAAAAGGCTATGTTATCATTCCATACTTCTACACCAGCAGCTTGCAAGCATCTCTGGAAATGTGGTGTGGAGAATCAGGCTTTTTACAAGTAAGCAAAATGATTCCTATCATCTAATTGTATATGTTCATTTCAACAATATAATACAAATGTGTAGATGAGCAAAGAATATCAAGTAATCAGAGATTCCTTTCATGTTAAATGAAAATATTATAAAGACAAAATGCCCTTTGATTTTTCTGCAGATTACTTTATTGAAAGTTCTAACAAAAATGAAATTACTGTTAATTAACTGAGTAGCTTCTGAAGTGGATAACTATGAAGGAATACTTTTGAATAATCTAAAATAAAGATTAGTTATATTTAATTAAGATTTTTCAGACATAAAATACAAATGCCTCAGAATAATCCCAAACATCAGGCAACTAAGTATTTTTCAGAATTTGTCTTATACCTATATTTAACCTATCTTTGTTGAAGAAAATAAAATCCTGCTATATAAATTATAATTTATATTTTGAAGCATTCCAAATTTAAGCTATGAATTAGTATGGCATAAAAGGAAAAGAAAAAGAAATAAAACTGCTTGAAGACTGGAAATACTTGAGTAGTGCAAACCAGAAGTATTAGTCTTGGGAATATAAAGGTTGTGTATAATGTACTCAAGGTTAATTGGTTTCTGGTTCTTCAAACAATTACAGATGGTCTAAAACTTAAACAGACATATTATCCCAAGTCTTGAAATGATTTAAAATAAAAGAGGGGATGTAAAACTTTTTCTCTACAGGCAGTATAGCATGGCAAACCTGTCAGCACTCTTATTTCACATGTCTGGAATGCAATCATGCCTGCTGGTTTAAATAACCTCATATTACTTGCATCTCACATAGTAAACACACACACACACACAGAACATATCTAGCTATCTATGTGAGGACCGTACATTGCAGGCATGAACTGGAAGTTATTGGAGACCATGCTGTAGGTTCCATACATTGTCTTGTATATATACTTCCCAGACAGGGAATACATAGGCTAACTAAAATAATTGTAATGAAACAAATAATTAGAAGTGTATTCATTGAAGTTGGGATTGTTTTCAAAGGCAATCTGCTTTATAAAGGTTGCCTGAAACTTCTTTTTGCCTCAAGAATTATACACAGTATAGACAGATACAGAGAGAAACAGGGGACATACGTATGTCTGTCTATTAGTAAACTAAGGCATTTTTTTTCTTCCTTGAAAATTTAACTACTTTTGTTTTGTGTTTTTTCCTCTGAAGGTATGCAAAATCAAGCCAAATCAAAACCATGTCCAGCAGCAAAATATTTTTTAAAGGCAGCAGATTTAGATACAGGTAATTTTTTTTATCCCAACAGGAAGGAATTATACAGATTAGATAGATAGATAGATAGATAGATAGATAGATAGATAGATAGATAGATAGATAGATAGATAGATTCAATAAACCTTCAGGTTCCTTAAGATTGCAGGGTTACATACAGTTATCTAAGTGTAAACCTCATTGAAAGCATTAGGTCTGTGTGGACACATATAAGATTGTACTATTGTAGCCTGTGAAAGGATCCAGACTGTTTTTTTTAAGTATTTGCATTTTGATTATATTAATGTTTTTGTAAACTGCTCTGGAAATGTAAAAATAAATCAATGTGGAGAGCAGACCTGCAATCCTATTCACATGGACTTGAAAATAAGCACCAGTGAGTATAATGGGATTTACTTCTGATTAAATATACTAGAATGATACCCTCTATTATGCATGCGAAATACTGTATGAAGATATGAGGAGCAAACCCCATCCCATTTTAGCACTGAAGATGTTACCTAGCCGGGTAATGAAACATTTGCAAGAAAAGAACCAAGCTCAGAGAATCCCAAGGACTCCACGGTATCTATGAAGAGATGAAAGCATATGGCATTTGGTAGACAGTATATTAGAGAGCTTATTGCTGCCAATATGAGCAGAATTGTTCTTGTAAATTAGGACTGAATGAGCCATGACCCAGTGTAATCCCCAACTCCATTTGTATAGGTATTCAAATTCCCAAAATCACAATGCTAAAATCTGACAGTAAATCATCAATTTCTTTTAGTATGATTTTAAAAATATATTTAAAAGAAAACAAGGGGATAAAATGCATGTTAAGCTTTTCCCAGGCTTAATGACTCTCCCTACTTTAAAACAGCCTGATCAAACCTACACACATGTGCGCACACACAAACACACAGGCACACAGACAAGAAACAAAAATTTCAGCATCATCTCTCTGGTGATCACCAAAAGGTTAGCTTAAATAAGTGATTTTAAAAGTGCAGCCCTTGACTGGAGGAAAGTTGCCATAATTAAAAGGCCAGCTCTCTACTTAGGATATAACTGCAAGTATTCCACAATGATAGATTTTTAAATATTCAACTCTATTTTTAAAGACAACACTTTTCCATTACATGGTACCCTTTTTTATATATGAATTGCTTTAAGCATTTGGTTACTGCATTGCAAATAATCTTTTTATCTTACAAAGATTATTTCTTCACATTTTGTGACAGTGGAAAAGTTGCAAAAGAAGTTGTTGAAGCAAGTTCAAAGATCCAGAGGGAGCCCCCAGAAGTGCACAGGTACTTTCTGATCTAAATCATGTTTAAAGAATCTACTAATATTGACCTGTATTCCCAAACTGACAAGTTGTATAACATATATTTAATCACTACTCTACCAGTAGAACATTGCTAAATACTCTTGGTTTTTCATATGTAATAGGAGCTGTAGGATTTATACATCATTTATCTTATAAGATTTCTTCAGCACTTCCTGACTCATTCCTTTCGATGAGCTACAACCTCCAATTGAAATCCAAACTCATCAAATTAGGAAGGTCCAAATGTTCTCAAATAATTTTGGTATAGTAATTGGTTAGTTCTACTCTCACTGTTAGTTAGTTAGTTCTACTCTTTCACTAGGCATTGGCTACAAGAAATAAAAGTAAATCACTGCAAACTGTTTTGTAACATATTTTGTACAAATAAATATTCTGAAGGAGATAGCAAGAAGACATCAATAGGCCTTCTGTTTCTTGTTTGTTTTTTTATATGTCATAGAAGTATGTTTCTTTATGTATGTGCGTATGTGTATACAGTACACACAGCCTCATTTATTGCATAGTCAAATGATAATTTATCCTCTTTCTTCGCAGAACCAACATTACTCAGAGTCGTAGCTCTTATTCTTTAAGCAAGCAACTCATAATAAACATGGAACCTCTGCAACCTCTCCATCCATCCCCAGATGACCAGGAAGAGGTTCTTTCTGATGAAGGCAAGTCTGTGCTAAGAGGCTCCTTCTATTTTTCCTATACAAAGTACATCAATAAAATCAACAGAAATTAGTTGTTCAAAACATATAAATAGAATTTATATGTTGAATAGCATTTTCATTCATGTAACTAAGAAAAGAGTGGGACAATTGTTGATATGTTGCATATGAAAATACATTTGGGGCAGTTTTAAGTAATTGCACAAGTATTATTTAGATCATAGAATCCTAGATGTCTAATGCAAAGAGTGGGAATCTATGCTGATTCATCCTGATCATAAATTAGGCTTCCTATTTAATAGGTGGGGGCTGATTCTGAGACATAAATTCTTTACAGCTTCCCATTGCCTTGTAGCTATTGATCTAAACTTAGCATCTGAGTCCTATTTTTGCCTGTTTTGTGGTTCAAACCTCATGGAGATAACACAAAGTAGTGTAACTTTCACCCAGTTGAACACAAATACTGTAGATTAATTGAATTTTACATGCTATCAATGAATTGTATCAAAAATATGTTAAAGGCATTAGCAAATATGGAAAATGTTGCAGAAATATCTTCATTTCTTGGATGTCATTAGTTTGTTAGGAAAAACTATTAAGGTTATTTTTGTAACTCTGACAGAGACAGAAATCACTGGGAGAAAAATGTGCATGAGAAAAAATGCTAGCATATGTGCAAGTCATCTTAGAATAGATTATTGTTGTTCAGACTCTTCCTTAAAATCTTTAAGGAAATACTGCCAACCTTTTCTAACATTTCTCGATAGAAGTCAGACAAATATCCCTTTTCTATCAAGTAGTTCAAGGGATGCTTTTGGGATAGAAATGCATGTAACTGAATTCTACCCACTCAACGTCTCTTTTCTGCTTTTCTGTCTTTTCCTGCATAAAGTGCTCTAAATGAGAACTTAGGCTTTCTTTCTAATATTCTCTACTAGAAAATGCACCTGGGAAAGCTATATTTTCTTGTTTGTTCATTACATTATATTGGGTATCTTTGGCTGAGTGACTGAGAAGCTCTTAATGTAGCATCTCTTCTCTAAGTGCTGCTGCTACTATTTTTATACCCTGTCAGGGGAAGATCCTGCCATCAGTCCCCACCTGGTACAGCATGATCCCATCCCTGTACTCCTTCCTGGAAGCCTTACCACTTGGAAATCTGGCTCTTTCTCCATTCCACGTGACACTCCCTCCCGTATTCGTGCCCCCAGATCTCTTGGTGAGTGCTGATTTGGTGGTCTGGGCATGTGGTGGCAAGTTGCCAGGTGGGGTGGGGTGGGGGTTGGCTGTCAAGCTTTCTTATTCAGGAACTCAGTGTCTACTGACTTCTCAAAGAACAACATAGCTAAATTTTATTGCAAGCAGATTAGCCTCCAGTTAAGAGAGTTGGTCAACTCTCTTTGGCAGTGCAGAATTATACATACATATTCAAACAATTCTACCTGTTCCCTGCATTTTCCTTTTGTCAGTCCAAGACCAGCTTTTCCTTTGTCACCGTCCCACTTTGGAGGCTGTAGCATCTTTACATTCTCAGCATTCTTTTCTACAAGGTAGACAAAACATTGTCCCCGACATAAAAAACAACCTCCCTGTGACAATAGCTAATCACAGCATTCATGCGTGTATGTACTATTTGTGTATATAATAGTGGAAGAATAAGAAGGCTGACAAAAGATAAAGATTGTGTGGCTATAAACCATCCTTCTCATAGGAAGATGATTAAGCTTCAGAGTTAATAGGTTTTTTAACTTTTTCATGCAAGCGTTTTATTCTTTATGTCTGGTTACTGTACCGCATCCCACTTCTAACACCATTTGTTAGGGTTTTTCCTGATCTGGTACAGATTACAAATACTTAAATTTGGTGGGTTTTTCCCCCCCCTACAAAATTTGTTTCATTATACAAAATTAGTCATATTTTTTACTTTTAATCTTAATGCTAATTCTATGCTTGCTTCTGTTTTCATGTTTAAGTTCTTCCTACCTGTGTAAATCTAGAGTTTTCCCATTAGTACAAGTTTACAACTATTTTTCTTATTTAATCTTTAATCTTCTATCTCTATGTCTATATGTTTGTAGCACTATATTTTCCTGTCTTAACTATTTCCTAGCTCTTTGAGTCTTTCCTTTTTCCTCAGGTCTTCAGCTCTTGTAGCCAGTCACAGTCCATTTGCATCAGAAAACCCTTTTCACTCCTTTATAGACTTGTGAATGGGGCTTTTCTCTCCTCCCCGCCCCCCCCCCACCCCGAGTCGCTATTCGTTTGGTAG